AACTTTTCCCAAGTTTTTCTCCTCTAAGCTTCAATGACCAGGGAGGATAGAAGGAGAATTGATGCTTTTGAGCTTTGGTGTTGGGGAAGAGTGCTGAGAGTGCCAAGGACTGCTAAGAAAACAAACAGATTCATCCTGGAGAGGGTTACACCGGGATGCTCCTTGGAGGCAAGGATTCTGAGGCTTCGTCTGACATACTTTGTACATGTTGTAAGGAGGGACCGGTCCTTGGAGAGGGACATCATGCTTGGGAGGGTGGAGGGCAGGCACAGGAGGGGAAGGCCCTCTGGGAGATGGATTGATTTGCTGACTGGGGTAATCGGGATGAGTGTGTTGGAGACAATGAGATTGGCACAGGACAGAGCAGAGTTTAGAGCTGTTGTTCATAGGGTCACTATGAGTCGAAAGTGACTCGAGGGCACATAACAACAAGCTTCATTACATTTTCCTTTATTTATATTCCTCTAAAATAAGTGACCTTGGATCTCTCCCAGCCCTACACACACCAACAATGCTGAATTTAGGCTTTAATAAGATATTCTCCTGGGAAATAGACCATAGGGTCTCAGGCTACAGGTGCCAAACAGGGCACCAGCTCCTATGTGCTATGGGAATAAAAGGGGTAGTGGAGCCAGAACCCATGAAAAGCCATCAGTACCTGGGAAGGGGCCAGTTCCATTTTTTTCAGAAACAGCAGCAGTGCACCCTGGTGAGTCTTGGGCTGGGACTAGAAGTATGTAGAGAGAGGAAGAGACTGTGAGTTTAGTGCAAAAAAAGTATTAAAAAAGTATTTAAAAGTATTAAGCCATATAGATTCTAGTACAATAGTCAGTGGTAGGCATTTTCTTAAGATTTTACCCAGATCTGAGGCTGATTCATTCTGTGGTCATACAAGGTCTGCATCCTCAAAGACCTGCACTTATTTTGTGACTATGTGGCTAAAGCTGAGTTACAAGCATTCTTTTCACCCTGATCAAAATTGTTCTATGAACTAATATGACTACTTTTTATTCTCGGCAATTATAGCTGAGTTTGGATCTTGCATTGTAATTTTGACTAGGCATTTTGAGATGGTCATGTCTCATGGTCAACAGGTAACCACTGTGACCATTCCTCAGTGATGGGTTGAAGTATCAAGGTCAAAGCAATTCCCCGAATGGCTAGCCATTCCTCATTTCCCATATTAAGAGTCTTCATTTTCACTGAGGAGAATATAGAGAAGGAAAAGGATTCCAGATATTTCTGAATTTAAAAGAAACTGAATAAAAGCTGAAAGTATAATACTTTGGGAGAATATATTAGGAGCATAGGAACTCTGAAAACATCGTGCTGTATTTATCTGTTAAGAAGTTCTTGGCAATATTCTTGAGTTCAGTTTCTCTGTGCTTACTCACCTCAGTTTCAAAAATATATCATTTCTTATTCATTTGAATATAGCTATTTTCTTTGTTCAGGATTTGCGACTTTCTTTGGGACTATTCAGGATTCTTAAGATCACTGTTATTAGAACCACATCTGTACTGAATGTGTATGTCTGCAAATCTCTCTCTTCTTTTAATTAAATAAGCTCAAAGAAAAGAACTTCCTTTTTTCTTAACCCATTTTAAGAAGGTATCAACTATTCTTTCACTTGTTCAGAGAGTCACTTTCAGGACCTGAGACTTGAAATCACTGGAAAGGATAGACCTTTTCAGAAAAGGTGAGTGTGATCTTTATGCTTAATTTCCAGATTCACACTGTAGGTAATTTTTCTAAGCACTTATGAAAATGCATAGCACCGCAGACACAGAACTGGCTCTATTTTAATTTATTCCTGAATCCTTGGTTTACCTTAAAGCCTGGCAATAAATAGGTAGCTAGTTTTTAGAATGTAGCTAGTTTTTGTTTTAGCTTTTTAAGGTAGACCATTTTGCTTACTAAGAAATGGGTCCGATTGTTGGTTTATTTGTCTAAATTATACTCACTGATTTATCTTTGACAGCTAGTTTATCTTTGATAAATCTCAACTATTTTGAACCAGTTTTAAAGGCACCTACTTTTAACATGACTTGAAGATACCTCTTATCAGAGTTATGTTCTCTTTAGAATCTTTTAGTTGCTCTCACTCCATGAAGAATTTTTAATAAATTATGTATTTAAATTTAAGCAAAACAAGACACCAACTCAAGATAGATAGAAAGGAAGGGAACTGTTTGACTTTAGACAGACATTATCTGAGTCTCCAAGAGATCTTTCTATGGAGAAGTTAAGTTGTAGTTGTAGGAACTTCTCAACAAAAGCATGGGAAACAAAACTCTTGTAGTACTTTTCAGCCTAAATGGATTTAAGGGATAGCATGAAGTGGAAAACCAATCTCTGGCTATTGCTAAAGTAGCTTAGGAATAATGAATCTTTGTGGTGTTATCAGAAAGACTGATCTCTATTTTGAGGCAAAATTTTTAAAAGAAATTTTAAACTTTCTAATGGACATTGTTAGATGGATCTTAGCTGAAAGCAGAGAGTACCAGAGGAATGTCTATATGTGTTTCACTGTCTATGCAAAGGATCACAACAAATTCTGGCTGACCTTGAAAAAAATGGGAATCCAAGAACACTTAGTTGTGCTTATGTGAAACTTATATTTGGACCAGCAAGCAGTCATCAGAACAGAGCAAAGAAACATCTCATGGTTCAAAATCAGGACAGATGTATCCAAGGGATGCATCCTATCTCCGTACCCTTTCAATCTATATGTGGAACGGGTCATTCAGAAGGCTAGATCCTAGGAGAAATGTCGCTTCAAGATTGAAGGAAAACTGATCAACAACCTGCATCATGATGATGGCGCAACCTTGCTTGCTGACTCTAAGGAAGATCTGAGGTGTTTTCTGCATAAGATCAAAGATTGCAGATCAAAGATCAAGATCAAGATAACAAAGATTCTCATCACTTGGACAATTCAATTGTCAGCATCATAATAGATGGAGAAGAGATAGAGATTGTTAATAATTTCAGCTTGCTTGGTTCCATAATCAACACTCATGGCACCAACAGTTAACAGTCAGAAAATGACGACAAATTCCATTGGGAAAATCCACTGTCAGTGAACTCTCCAGAGAACTGAAGAGCAGCAATGTCAGTCTAGAGATTTAGGTGCACCTGATCCAAGCCTGGGTCTTCACAGCCATTTGCTATGTATTGGAGATTAGGACAATGACTAAGGATGATAGAAGACGAATTAATGCCTTTGAGTTATGGTGCTGGAGAAGAATGTTGAACATAACATAGACTGCTAAGAGAACAAACACAGGTCTGTCCAGGAAAGGATGAAACCAAACATCTTCCAGGAGGCAAGGATTTTGAAGCTCTGTCTCACATACTTTGGGCATGTGGCCAGGAGAGACCAGTCCATGGAAAAGGACATCATACTTGGAAGAGTAGAGAGACACCACAGGAGAGGAAGACCCTGGACGAGATAACTGACACAGTAACTACAGTAATAGGGCTAGGTGTGTTGAAGACAGTGAGATTGGCTTAGGATAGGACAGAGTTCAGAGCTATTGTGCATAGGGTCGCTATAAATCACAGGCAACTCAATGGCACACACAATATGCTGCTCAATCCTTGGATATGGAATGACATTCTTGGACCCAAATTCTGAAAGCCCAACTTTTCTTAATTTCTTAACCAGGCTAGTGCAATAGTTATTAGCATTTTAAACATTACTGTTTTTATCTTTTGAAACCCTCTTGAAAATATAATTGCTTTTTTTTATTTTTTAAATTTTATACTAGTTTGTATACATTGTTTTTCACACCCGATCTTTCCCATTTCCTTTACCTTCCCCTCCCTCCACCCATCAAATTGTACTGCCCTATGATTACCCTCCTGCTCATCCACACTTCTACTTCTACCCCCCCTCCCCTTGGATCCGTGTATATGTTTTACTAGTTTTCTTTCTATTTCTACATTAATAGCCTTATACAGTATTTGTCCTTATGGGACTGAGTTAGTTCACTTAGCATAATGCTCTCCAGTCCCTCCCAAGTTAGGTGTGATCTACGTGCTGCTCAGTATTCCATCATGTGAATATACCATAATTGCTCAATCTATTCAATTGTGGTTGAATTCATCATTGCAAGAACATAGAAAATCTTGTATCTTATTTGAAGAACAGTAATAGCATTTCCAATAGTTTCATACTCCATGTCAGTCTATACCTCAGGCACAACTATCCCTGCCATGAGAATAGGAAATTCACAGTCCCTTCAAAAGACTCAAATAAAAAGATAACACACTGGAAAATTCACATAGAATAGTAAGTGTAAGTAATAGAGTAAGTAAGCATTTGATGGACTCTATATATTTGGGGGAAGGAATAAATTATTGGCATTGGTTGAGATTAAGAACTGGTTTGTCTTCAATCCAATATATCTCAAAGAATTAAAAGAAAAAGAAAAGAAGTGGGATCTTGTTCATTTCTTTGAAATGGAAGTTGGGCTTTTCCTGGGCCTCCAATGAGTTGGCTAAGCAGAGTTCTCTAATTTTCTGAAGAAAGGATTTGGCTAAGTAATTTTCTTTGTCAATTATAAGTAGTGTGGCCTGAGAGTACAAAACTTTTGATTACAGTCATAACTTTACCAACTCTCTAATTTTAATCAACGTGCACTGTTACCTCTGTTTTATTATTTGTAAATTAGAATAATAATGTTAATCACGCCCTACAGAGGAGGCACACTGGATAAGTGTTCAGCTTCTAACCAAAGGGTTTTGGTTTGTAACTGTGGATCCTCGGGAGAAAAGACCTGGCGATGCAGTTCAATAGATTACAGTCTAGGAAACTCTATGGGACAGTTTTACTCTGTAATATAGAATGGTTATGAATAAATAAAAAAAGTGTTATTAGAAAAGATTAAGTGACTATAAATTAACAATGACTACATTTTAATGTCAGTAATGGTGCTGCACCATTGGGACAAACCAAATACCCCAATGGATTCTGAATTCTACTACATCTATATTTTCTGTGATGTTGTACTTCTATTCTACTTTTAAAGGTTACTTGGATCTTCAATTTGATCAAGATATTTTGCATGGCAACGCCCAGTAACTCCTCCATTGCTCCAGTCTCTGAATTCCTCCTCGTCTGCTTCCCTAACTACCAGAGTTGGCAACATTGGTTATCGCTGCCCCTCAGCCTCCTCTTCCTTCTGGCCATGGGGGCCAACGGCACCCTCCTGATCACCATCTGGCTGGAAGCCTCCCTGCATGAACCCATGTACTACCTGCTCAGCCTCCTCTCCCTGTTGGACATTGTGCTCTGCCTCACTGTTATCCCCAAGGTCTTGTCCATCTTCTGGTTTGACAGCAGGTCCATCCACTTCTCTGCCTGCTTCCTCCAGATGTTCATCATGAACAGTTTCTTGACCATGGAGTCTTGTACATTCATGGTCATGGCCTATGACCGCTATGTTGCCATCTGCCGCCCCCTTAGGTACCCATCTATTATCACCAACCGATTTGTGGCTCAGGCTGCCGTCTTTGTTGTGGCCCGGAATGCCATATTTTCTCTTCCTGTTCCCATTCTTTCTGCCAGACTCAGATACTGTGATAAGAATATCATCAAAAACTGCATTTGCACTAACTTGTCGGTGTCCAAACTTTCTTGTGATGACATTACGTTCAATCGGCTGTATCAGTTTGTGGCAGGCTGGACCCTGCTGGGCTCTGACCTCATCCTTATAATTCTCTCCTACTTTTTTATTCTGAAAGCTGTGCTAAGGGTCAAGGCTGAGGGAGCTGCAGCCAAGGCCCTGAGCACCTGTGGTTCTCACTTCATCCTCATCCTCTTCTTCAGCACAGTCCTGCTGGTGTTGGTTATCACCAACATTGCCAGAAAGAGAATTCCCCCAGATGTTCCAATCTTACTCAACATCCTGCACCATCTAATACCCCCAGCTCTGAACCCCATTGTTTATGGTGTGAGAACCAAGGAGATCAAGCAGGGAATCAAGAAGCTGCTGAGGAAGTTGTAAGAGGTAAAAAGGATCAGTCTCACCTTTGGGATTCTTACTAAAAATAGGGAACTATTTTAGTGTTGTAAAAGAAATGACTGCTTTTTTTTATTTTGCTTTATCTCAAATGCAAGGCAGCAATGTATACATTCACTTATGAATTTTTATTTCTTTTGATTCAAAGGAAACCTCCCTTTTCTAGACTTTGTGGTTACCTGGAAATTTTCTTTGACTTAATTCCTAATAGGGATCCCTGATGGCATGGTCCATAGAAAGTCATGCTGCTAATCCGAAGATGATGCCTCTCTGGGCTGTTTTAGTTCACTAGCAGATAGATGAGATATATATGAGCAATTTATTTCTGCGTGTTTTACAGCTTTGAAAGCTTGTTGGAGCATCAGCTATTAATCTGTTCCGACTCCACAGCAATCAGAGGCAATAGTAAAAGTGGTAATCCTTAACAGAAGGCTTTGACAAGCCTCAACCAAGTGGAGCTGGGTTAGAGGGGAATTGCTTGACCATTAAGACAGCAATCTTCACATGATGTCATTAAATAGATTTAGCTGCCTCCTATTTTACTTAATGGCATCATATGAAGATTGTTTCTGTAATGGTCTAACAATTCCCCTCTCCAGCTCCATTCAATTCAGGCTTATGAAGACCCCCGACCAAAGATGACTCCTATTGGTAAATACTGCTATTCCTTGTTACTGACTGTTCCTTGTCACCGAGTCATGCAGACCTGCCAGGCTTCTGTTCGAGGGAGCTCTGGTGGCCTTGTGCCTAGGGAGTTGCATTGCTAACTCAAAGGCAGCACCTCTCTGCCATTTCAAATTCACCAGCAGCCCTGAGGAGCAATTTACAGCCTCCTGGACCTGCTTTGCTATTGATCTCACTGGAGGACATTTTCCATCTTTCTCCTACAGAGAATCTGGTGAGTTCTAGCCTCAAGTCTTTGGGTTGACAGAGAAACTCCTTATCACTAAGGCTACTAGAGCTTCCATTCTATAAAAGAGTACAACCTTCTAAACCATAAGCTGCTCCATGGGAGAAGGATGGGAAATCTCCTCCCATGAGATTTACTGCCTCTGAAAACCCACTGGAGGGTCAGCTATGAGCTGGTTCGTATTTGAGGGTGCACAACAGCAGTAACAACATATGCTGTAAAAGGGCTCACACACCCTTTGTGAGCTCTGGCACAATCCATAAGGAGCAGCACTACTAAGGCAAGGTTGGTATCTCCCTGGGGTTAGAATCCACCAGCAGCTCCAAGGGAGAAAGATGTGTAATCTTCTCCTGTTTGATTTACAGCCTCCAAAACCCCTCTGGCAGATCAGATTTGAGTTGGTTCCTAACTGCCAGTAACAAGTTTGAATTTTGAGTCTGAAACTCTACAGGCTCATTCTATTCTGCCTTTAAGGTGGCTGTGAGTCAGAATTGACTTGACATTGTGGGTTTGGTTTTGATCTTTATAAACTCTCTTGGGGAAAAGATGTAGCAGCCTGATTCCAGGAAGATTTACAGCTTTAGTAACAGTATAAAGCTTTTCTAATCTGTTCTACAGGGTTGCTATGAGTAGAAATGGTCTCTGCAGCAACATTTTGTTGCTGTTTGCTTCAATAAGAATCCCTGAGCAATGCAAACGTTAATGGATTCAGGAGCTCAGGATAGCATAGGAGTTCAAGTCGGTCCAGAAGTGCCTTAGTGAAAAGATAGGACTGGTGACCTACTTCTGAAAGAAATCAATCATTGAAAACTCTGGATCACAGTTTTGTCCTGACACATGTTTGACTCCACAACAAATGATATTTGGCAACAAGGAAGATAAGACACTCAATCAAATGTCTGGAAACTGATCGTTCCTAAGGATAATTAACATTAATCTCATTCTCTCCATTTCCCTATTTGCATCAGCCCCATCCTCAGCTATAGCTGGTAAAGCTTTCTAGATGTGGCTTCTCTATGGTTTGATTTTTACAGATAAGCGTATTTCATATTTTTAGTCTCCTTCATAATAATACTACATATTAACTTAATAGATCAAAGGAATATTTAACAGCAACAATTTGTGTCTTCTGGGGAAGAATATTAAGATATTCAAGATCTTAATTCTTGAACAATTTTATCAATTGGTCTACGTTATGCTTTCTTTTGTACTGAAGTTTATCTTGTATTATTATATTTAAGTATTCTACAGTATTCTAAATTTTTTATTGTGATTTGAGTGAAAGTTTATAAAACACACTGTTATTTTCAATCAATTATTCATGCACTCTCTTTTAACATTAATTATAATATACACAATATCTGATTGCCCATTTATTTCATGTTGTCCTTCCCTTCCCATATATTGCTGTTGGGTGCTGTCCCCTTAAGTACAACTCATAGAGGGTCTATGAACAACAGATCTGAACCCTATTCTATTCTGTGCCATCTTCCAAATATCTGATATACTTGAGCCCATTGCTGCAGTCACTGTGTCAATCCATCTGGTTGAGGGTCTTCCTCTCTTTTGCTGACCCTCCATCTTTCCAAGCATGATGTCCCTCTAGAAGGAATAGCCTCTGCTAGCAACATCCCCTCTGGTGGCCTAGAGAGAATATGCTGCACTGCAATCTCTAAGGCATGTGGTTTGAATCCACTAGATGCTCTGTGAAGAAGAATGGGCAATCCCCTCCCATGTGATTTACTGCCTCTGAAAACCTCCTGGAGGAAGTTATGGGTTGGTTCCAACTAGAAAGATAATAATTAATAATAATAATAGTAACATGCAAAAAGAATGTGAGATAAAGCTTTGTCATCTTTGCCTCTAAGGAGCATTCTGGTTGCATTTTCTCCAAGGCACACCTGGTTATTCTTATGACAGTCCATGGAATATTCTGTACTCTTCTTTCTTCTCCAACACCACAGTTTAAATGTCTCAATTCTTCTGTCATCCTTATTCAATGTCCAGCTCTAAGATGCATAGCATGTGTGTTTATTACCTATTAATTCATTTTCTACCCTTCCCTTCCTTACCCTGGTAAACATACTAGAATGATTCTATGTGTAAACCTTTCACTAGTTTTTTTTTGGTGTAACAGTGGTCTTTTGTAATATTTTAAGAAATGGTATGTGCTATCGCGTTGCTCTTCCTTCTATTACAGGCTTTTTATCTTCTGACCCTGGTATATTTTTAGATTTATAGCAAGCTTTCTTTGCTTTCCATACCACTGTAGTCAAAGCTAGGAGTGCTGGAATGGCACAAATAGCTAAGCACTTGACTATTTTTTTAAAACCTTCTTAAAGAGATTTGAGTGAAAATTTACAAAGCAGACTGGCTTTCCCATTAATAACACTGTATATGTTTTGCTTCCTAACCTTGATCCTTGTATTCCTACAGTGCCCATCTCTCACCCCCTCCCTGTGTTTCCCATTTTCACTAGCCCATTTTTATTGCATTCCCAACTTAATCCCTGGACAAATGCTGCCTTTTTGATCTTGCATAGATGATTGTTTTAAGAAGAGTGTTCCTGTCTGCTTTTTGTTTACCTTTTGGCTGAAAGTTGAGTGAGTAGGCTGATTTCAGTTCCAGGCTTCAGATACCACCAAGGGCTACAGTCTCAGGGCTTCTACTGGTCTCTATTAGACTGGTGATCCCTGGTATTTTTTCACAGATTTTTTGTTTTGCTCTGCATTTTTTCCTATCAAGGATCTTCTATTGTGATTTCTTTTAAAGTAGTCAGCAAGGGATCAATGGTTTTCCATGGGTGATTTTTCAGAAGTGGATCATAGTCCTTTCTTAATCAGTGTCTCTGGGAATGCTCATATTTCCAACCTTTTAATGAGTAGTTGAGCAGGTTAACTACTTATACCAATAGGTGAATTGAAATACTTTATTTAACAAAACAGGCATGTTCCTTTGCCTTTATTACCCTTTCTAATTTAAATTCTTCTTCAATTTAGATTTACTGATAATGACAAAGCAGACAATGTAAGGAGCCTTCCTAAAGTCTTCTTTATCATCCATTCCAAGGAAGAGTTGGCATGGGTGGAAGGCAAAGGACAACAGGACTATATCTATCAGCAGGGATGATACATATTGTCCATCTTAGTTTAACTGTGTGAGGCAAGGTTATTCAATCCAAGATATCCATAGGAAGATAAAGAGACACATCCAAAGAAACAGAGATAGTATTTTACACATCAATGCCCTGGTAACTTACTGAAATCCTCGGCCTTGTCTAAGTAGGAAAGAGAGGGGACTAATTCAATTTTCTAAGATATTTTCTTCTGTTTAACACACATATTGGGTGTAACTCATACTCACTCACTGGGTAAATTGGATTTTCATGTTCTTATCATGACCTAAGCAGCTAAGTGGCACAATGGTTAAAAAGGCTGGAGATTCAAATCCACCCAGAGATGTCTCATAAAGCAGGTCTGTAGCTCTGCTACTGGGAGGTCACACCCTTAACACTATGAAGCTCCTTTCATATCTGCAACATGTGCCCTCCATGAGATGGAATTGATTTGAAAGCAACTACTAACAACATCATGACCTATTTTGAATTACAAATGTTTTTCTAACCCATTCCAATTTTTTATTAAGCTACTTTTCTATGTATAAAAAAGAACATATTTCCAGATCGTATTACATTTCCTAGGTCATTTTCATAACGCTCATTATGATAAAAGGACTCAAATTTATGAATAATATTGAAATTCTCACTTCAAATATAATTATTTTCCCCCAAGAAAACACCAAGAGTATCTGAGATGAAATACTGTTTTGAGTGCACAAAAATATTTTAAAAATTACATGCTTTTAATTATGTAATGGCATACTGTAGCACCCTAGTAGCAGTGGCAAAGTTTAACAGGATAACACGCAATAAATGTTAGAGAGGAAATAAAGAGACAGGAAATCTCATACACTGTTGGTGGCATTGTAAAATGAAACAACCACTCTGTAAGGCACTTTCAGAAAGTTCATGAACAAGACGAACATTGAAATTCCATATGACCCAGCTATTCCACTG